TAAGTTGATGTTGTGATGCTCCTAACTCCATCGGAGTGCATTATGTCATATCAGCTCATGCTGCAGAATAACGTGCACACCTTGATGTTAACAAGTAGCCGCTGATTTTGTGCAACAGAACAAAATATAATTTGTAGTAAGCTGTTGTTGTTATTATTGTTATTGTGGGCTCCTTCATAACGCTAATGCAAAAACCACTAATAGGCCACTGTAACCATCTGCAGGTTCCTGGTTTTTGCATCTCTGCCACCATTTTTGGGCTCATTTGGTTCAGCAGCTTCTCTTTTAGTAAAATAACTGTTGTACAGCATTCATTAAATTTACCTCCCACATCATCCCCTCTGTTTCAGTCACAATAGTAGTTTCAGTAACTCTGCCAACTAGCATTTTGGAGGTATAATTACAGAGTGATGCGCAAAGTGTTAAAATAGGACATGCTGAATTCCATTTATGATTAAGAGTTTATTAGAACAAAACTAGTAGAGCTCATCAGGAAAGTCGGCACAGCAAACGACACAGGCTGAGAATCCTGGCTGAAAAACAGCTAAGCAATGACGCAGTCGATTACTGGTCGTCTTTAACAAAATCTTCAGTGTTTCTCTGTATTATTTAGGGTCCTTAGAACTGTTGTTTAAACTGAATTTAAACTTTGACTGCAAATGTATATCTCAAAGCTTTAAAAAAAATCATTTATTGATCAATATTTGATGATTAAACTGTAAATAAACTGTACACTCATCCAGCAAACCCCTCTCCCTTCTGTGAGGGGCGGTGCCTCTGCTCAGTGCAGTCTCACCCTCTGGGAGAGGTTGGATCTGCACAGTCAGCCAGTGAAATTCGCCACCTTAGTCATCCTGGTGACTTCTATATTTAACCCTGTGTGCTCTGTGATCAATTAACAGTTTGTGAACCTCAGAAGTTTAATCATTTACGAATGTGCTGGAAGTGAGTTTATACATTTGCATCATTGCTGAAGCGCAATAATTAAAACATTCAAGGCAAAAAATTAATGGGAAATATTCTGAGATGGATAACTGGAATGTGCTTTTTGCATGTCAGTCTTAGTTTTGAAACTTTGTGGAGATTAAAAAAAAATCATCATGGACTCTAACTTGGTTTTTCACATGCTGTGCCTGAAATATGCAGTGTCCACAAGAGCAAGCGAAGTTAACCTGTGACGTCTCCGGCAGTAGTTATTATTCATGAAATAAAGTGAAGGCTGATGCCTATAGTCATGGTTTGGGGTTTCCCCCAGTGTATTGTAAGCTTGCCTGAGTAACCTTAAGCAGTGGGGAATAATTTCGTTTTAGACTTACTGCACTCCAGTAAGCTAATGATGTTGGGCTTATTGTCACCTTGACTGTTTTTTAACTTATAAAAACACCTTATATGTAGCGATAAAATAAATAAAAATAAATCATTAACCGGTCCCTTTAATTATCAAACTCTAAAACACAAATCTGCAAAGAGATTTGCAATGGGGTGCATCTTTGTTGGAAACCATATGGCCTATTGTGCACTTCAAAATCACACTGTATAAATGAGTCTCCTCGGCCTTCAGTTCATCGTCTGTCACGGTCTGCTGAGGTTTTTCTCCTAAGTGAAATGCATCTGTGGTAATGGGTCATGTTGGTAAAAGCAATTTGCTGTGTTTTCTATTTTTGCTTGGGTTACGCAGCGAGTGGTTTCGACCTTGGTTTTGGGACATGCCAGCAAATCAAATGACTCATTTATTTGCACTTGTGCAATGCAACGTTAAAATCAACATGAATGCACAAATGTCTTGGCCAAGCTAAAAGCGGTGCTGAACTGAGTGTGTAACTTTCAGTTTAAGATATTAAACCTTTATCATCATCCTCACAAGTCTCTCTAAAAGAGATTTTGCATTTGTTTAGTGGAGTATAATTGATAATATTTTTTTTTGATAATAAAAATTGATACCCGTTAAGTTAATCACCCAAAATGTTAGACTGTGTTTTTTCTTTTGTCCAGCCTGTGGCATAAAATTGAAATATAAACATTTGATGCAGAAATGACAACATCTAATGACAGAGTTATCACTGGCCTGAAGACAGAAAAAGCCAGTCACTGTGCGTGGTTATGAAACTGCAAGTGAGGCTGCGACTGCATTGTATTCATTTGCTCTGAGTAAACTGTGCATCACACCATTTTACACATGGATTATGATCTGCCAAATATCTGGAAACAATGGGATGAGCATATTGTGCGTGACACAGGATAATTTTAAATTCAGCTGATAATGCCCCGTTCTGAGGAGGTGCTCACAGAGACTTCACTGCTCGAGCACAGCTGACTGTTGTCTAGATTTTACTGTCTTGTCATTCTGACTTTAGTTAGCTGGTAGCAAAGTAATTGCCCAACAACTGAGGGAAAGCAACTGGCTGAAAGTCAAATTAACATGTAGCCGACATATTCAAAGGTCAGGTTGATTCGTATCCTGAATATTGTCACTATAGAAGATCTCTGCTCTGTACACGAAGAGACACAGCGATATACTTAAAACCCCCCTAAATAAAACTGTCCATGAACATTGTCATTTTTAGTCAAGCAGTCGCACTAATAACACATTCACAGTACACCTCCAGGTTTTCACACTTGGATAGACTGAGGTCATAATTATTTTCTAATTGAGAGTCCACAGCAGTTCTACAGCTGTTTGATGTGACTGACATTGGGCTGTTGCTGCAATTTGTCCATGTGTATTTGTGTACATAATCAGTGTTGTGTATATTTTTTTTTGTTCTTCCTTTGTTTTGCCTCTTTAGACCCATGTAAGACCTTCCTCTGGTAATAAATCTAGAGACTTGATGGACACACTAACCTCCTTTAAAGAATCTAATTCTCAAAGATCTCAGTGTAAAGTTACTGCCAGGAGGCTTCATGTACAAGCTGTAAATGCTGAACATCTAATACCTGAGACTGCTTTTAGGGTCCCCTCAAATCAGAACCACTGTTTGAGTTGGATTCAGACGATGGACTGAATAGTCTTTCAATTTAGAAAAAAATAAAATTGAATGTAGGAAAATACTGATCTGTCCACCACTTAAGTTTCATGTAGTTTATTCCATGTTTGTTGCTGAATGGTGCACTAGTTCATGCTTACACTGGTTTAAAAAAAAAAAAAAAAGTTTGTTTACTATAATCTAGCTCATTAGCTGGTAGGATAATTAATAATATTCAGACCATTTCTACATCAGAAGATGCTGTAATAACCAGACCTTCAAATTCATTTAGGGCAGTGAACAATAATACACATCATTTGGACAGGTGTTGCATTGTTGCATGGGTATTCTGTCTCTTGTGCAAATAAAAGTACATTGTGGATGATATAAACCCTTCCTAACTACTCTTAAACGAATATTTAATTTCCCCTCCAACATCTCGGCACCCTGTGCATATACCAAACTCTTGTGACACTGATGGATGGCTATCTACATATCAGAAAACCAGAGCAGGAAGGACTAAAGGAGCTGTAATTCTAAGCCATAAGCAGTTTTATAGGGTGAATCATCACCTTATTCTACTTCAACACTGATCATGTGACACAGCTATTCCCTTAGCTCAGTGTCGTGGCAGTGTTGAGGCAAAAAGAAACATTAAAGATGCCAATAGTTCTTAAAAGCAGCTGTTTACATGAATAATATGCATTTTATTATAAAATGACACATGAAAAAGTAAGATTTAATATATTAACTTTACTACAAAATTTGGACATTAAATTGTAGACTGAGTTCATGCTTAGAAGTATGGTGAAACACTAATGGCATATTGACGTGTGGCTTCACAAGCTCGCCACTAAGAAATTGGATTAGTTTGTACCTGTCCATGTGACAATCGCAGCACTATTTTCATTACGTGAGTGGAGAAAATCAATTGGCATGAGAATGCTCGCAGGCAGATTTTCATTTGATGCAACAAACAAATTCACGAATGAGGAGCTGTCATCTGTTACGTTTACTTAATGTTTTTCAAAATTAGCCTGCAGCCAAAAGAATCTGTTGTCTCCAACTTTAATTTCACAATACTTTACCATATTATACACAACATGGAAAAATGTCCTTATGCAGCTTTGTGGCCTGTAAAGTTATCAGAGGTGGCCCCGCTGTAAATGTGTGATCTTTGATGCTAACAGAGGTATTTTTAATGGTGTGAATTAAACTAAAGTCAGTTTACACTGCTATAAATGTCTTGTTGGATTGTTGTATTATGCCCATTATTATTGGAGCTTTTGTTTGTGTCTAAATATTGTGTGTGTATATAGGAATGTAGACATGGGTCACATGGCCACATGTGTTGCTGATATTTGGCATACTGCGTCTTGATGGACTTTAAAATGTAACTTCTGTGGCTTGGATTGTTTTTGCCTCATTTGTCTTTAATTTTTAGTTGTAAGTGTCTTTGCCGCACTGTTAGTCAGTCTTTTGAATGCGCTACTACGCATTTGGGCTCTGCATGTCACCTTGATGAACTACTTTTTAAGAACAGGTATGTTAAGACAAAGTAAACATGTAGATTATTTCACCCTGGATGTTTCCACTTTTATTACTTATGTGCGCCTGGAGTTTTTAAAAAAATAAATAAATGCAGGAATGTGTTGGCTTAGCAGTCTTAGACAAATTAACTTGTGCTTTGCGGTCTTGGTGAGCATCTTTGTATAGCGCACTCATCCATTATACAAATTCCCATTCCTCATGCTTATTGTCCCCGTTGTGGCCAGGTTGCTCTGTAGACTGAACACTCTACACTTCTCGGTTTTGCTTTTCTCTCCTTACTGTAGATGAATTGTGACCAAGTGAAACATTGCCTTTTGCTTCTTCTTGGTTTTCACCAATCTGCATGGACAGCCAGTTCGAAAAAAGGGGAGGGAGAAAAATGGCCTCCTTTTTACCCCCCCCAAACGCTGACATGTGATCATCTCTGACTGTTGCTTTTGTTGTTGTTGATCTAACATGAAGTACTTTTTGTGTCCACATTTTCAGACGGCAACTCCAAACTAACATGGCAGTCAGACTGTGCGATGTGGCTTCTCTGCTTAGAAGTGGTTCGTGGGCGCCTGAGCCTTGGACTGGGGTCTGTGGCACTTTTATTTTTATTTTTGGAAATAATTTGTCCAGAGGGCCTCTTTGTCTCAGTGCTCAGGCCATACCAATGATAGTTCTTGTATTATAACATTGAATCTAAATCAATTTACGTATTAAATGTAGGCACCTTTTTGCAGTTTGTATGAGAAGCTCCCATGTTTAATGTCTCACTGTATTGGTATGGTCTAAAACTCTCTACTGCCCCTGTCTACTCTGTATTTAACTTATAGCATCATTGCTTTTAAAATTATAGCCTTGTACTCTGTGTGACGATAATTTAAAGTGAGAATAATAGTAGTGTGACTACATCGCTCTGCTTACTGGTGAATCTGTTAATTAAGGATGACTCTTCATACATTAACGTGCTGCTGGTTGCCTTAACTGATTACGCATCATTTCGGCCTGTTCCCCGATGCTAGCGTACTGATGGCTGCAGGTTTTGGGCTTCTGTAGGCTTGGCATTTTCTAATTTTGGTGAATGAAATGTTGCTACTGCAGTAGGAAGTTTAAAATCCTGGAAAGATAATTTTTAATATTCTCACCTCAGTTGTTGTGCATATGGCAGATTAATAGATTGCCTTATTGCACAGGGCGTCTCCTGTTTTCTCATAAAAGCAACAATAACAAATATCAGAGTAATTAAACAAATATGGAGGGGTCCAATCTCAACTTCCAGTATTTTTGTTGGTTATATTGCTAAAATCTAACATTTGTCCTCATACCTGAGCTAAAGTTAAATTGACATGATTAAAACCTGTACTCAGTTTCTTCTGTGGTGACAAACTCTTGACATTGACAGCTTGCAGTGTGGGGTTTCTTTATTTTATTTTTGTTGGGTTAATTACCTGTAATGCTGTGCTGCATTAAATGATTACCACTGTTTTTTTTTTTCTTTAATCTTTAAATTTCACCAGTGGTTGTTATTCCACTGAAACAGTGTTTACTGTGTGAAGAGCGTCCTTTTTTAACTGCTGGTTTTATGATGCTTTTTGTTTCATTTGCATTTAGTTTTGATTTTTTTTTTTCTTTCTGTCTCTTTAGCAGGTAATTGCTGCCATGGAAACACAGCTATCCAATGGGCCCACTTGCAACAACACAAGCAACGGTCCTTCAACTATCACAAACAACTGCTCCTCACCTGTAGAGTCAGGGAGCGTAGAGGACAGTAAAACTAACTTGATAGTCAACTATCTGCCTCAGAACATGACCCAGGAGGAACTGAAGAGTTTGTTTGGGAGCATCGGAGAAATTGAGTCCTGTAAACTAGTTCGAGACAAAATCACAGGTAACAACTGTTTGCATTGCTTACGCTGGTTAATGATTGCAGAACCACCTATGTGTGCATTATTATTATGTTGGTTTTTTTGCATTGGTACATTTTTTCTATTTAGACCATTTAGATTTTCGTTTCAGGTTAATATAGATTTTGAACAAATGGTCGGCCTGTTTGTGCCGTAGGCTTTTGTTGCATGTACAGTGAGTTTTTCCCCTTCTTTTTAAAATGATAGACACCAACAAAGAAAGACCTTAATTCTGAAAATCATTGAGCATGCATACTGTTTGATTATACAGTCGGCAAAAAGGGAACATTTGAGCAATATTAACATTCATTTTTGAATCCGGGTTGTTTTTGGCGTTCCACTGACAGTTGTGTCATTTAAAAAAAATTGCACAGTGTCATTAAAGATTTTCAACCTCGCTGTCATTCATCGAGGCCTGAAGTACAGTTAAAGTGTTCCTGTAACTGCTTTGATGTGTTGGTTTCTACTAGAGCCAGTAGGGAAATGGCATTTTCAGAAAACTCCCTGTGGGAACATCCTGTTCAGTGTACAGTATTTGGGTAGGTGGACAATTTGCAAATGATTTCAGGTTTTTAATGGGAGGAATGCAGCTGGCAGAGACACAGTGACACGGTCTATGTGACATGAGCAGCTAGATAATGGTCGAGGCTGCAGGATTCTCACTACTAGCTGTTTGCGGTTAAGGTTATGGAGACCTTTCAGCCTGTCTCTCTGCCTGAGATGAAAATCCATTTGTTTTGTTTGCATTTCCTTCTGAATCAACAGTCAGCGGAGAGAGCGAGCAGAGCTTTTCCTTGAAATGATGCTTGAGGCTGAGAGAGGGGTGGCTGAGGGATGCAGTGACTTTAGATCCTGTGACTCTGACCTACATTAAATTAACATGTCAACTGTACACCCACCCACTTTGAAATATTCATGTTAATATTTCAGTTCCTGTGTATACCTGATCATTATTCACAGGTCTGTCTTTGCAGGGTTGCTACTATTTCCAAAAGTTACTGCTTCATTTTTAAAAATGCTGTCAAATCCTCAAACTATGTCGAGCTAAATTGTCTCTCGCTGCCTCAAACTACACCAGCTGCATTCTCTTATGCTTTCTCTAAAAAGCATTTCTGTTATAGCTGTATTTGTAGAGCCGATTCTTTGGACTGCCACAACAGATGTTTAAATCAGAGAGGTTATATTGCATTGGTGTAAACAAATGATAGCAAACAGTAGACCACAAACCCAGGATGGTACTTGTGGGCATAGAAGACGGAGGGGGGGGGTCTTATTATTTATTTATTGAATTTAAAGTATTTACATGCAGTGATGATGAAAAATTATTAGTCTTGCCTGGGATAAATGCCCTCGTGTAGCCATGCATAAAATAAATGTATTTAATAATGTGTGAAATGGGTTGCGTTGACTTGACAAGTGATCCCTGTTTAAAATCAGTGTACAGCACAGCCTACTTGGGTGATTGAACATAAACAACGTTTGATAGGTTGCATATTTAGGCGAGCTAGTGTGAACGCAACACTCAAACTAATTTTCCGAGCGAGGCACTAAATGAAACGTGTTGTTTGAAATCAGCCTGCCCCTGTGTGAAAACGATTTAAGTACTACGAGGTCCTGATTCATGCATGCCGCAGCTGAAATGTAGGCTTTGATTCAGGAAACGATAGAAGCACTCTGTGGACGAGTTTTGTTTTGGGTGACAAGACATGAACCTGTATGTTGCCTCGTCTTTTCTCTTAGTATGGGTAATTTTCACTTCAAACAAGACGTAAATAGACGTTAGTCTTGATCCAGGTGCTTTGAGCTTGATGATTTGCGCTCTTAAATGTTGGTTTTATATCTTTTCCACTAGATTGGTGTGTGTGTGTGTGTGTGTGTGTGTGTGTGTGTGTGAAATATTTTGTACAAATAGACGTTCTGTGTCCATTAAGTACACTGAATCCTTGCATATAGTTTGATTTTTGATGTTAAAAGATAACAGAACTTGATTTCTCTGAACAGACTAAAGTGCCTCTTCCAAACTTTTGACATGCTTATTAGACTCTGTTCAAAGAGGTCATGCCATTAGCTAATGCTGTGGTTTTTAAATATGGTCAGTTTACCTTTAAAACACTAATTAGCACAGCCTTTTCAGGTAGCTGTAATTAAACAATTAAAACCGTTGCTTGATCCAGCTAACTATAGACTGATCTCCAGCCTTGCTTCATTTTTAAACACGTAAAACTGCTGAGTGATCATCTGCAGAGCAATGATTTCGAGTCGGAGTGCAAAGCAGCACAGATGGATGATTGTCTGATGGTGTTCTAGTCTTTGTCCTCCTTCGACCTCAGTGTAATATTCAGTACAGTTCACAACATTTACTACAGAGATTTAAAAACATGTTATTAAAGGAAATGTGTTGCACCGGCTTGAGTTGTATTTATGGATTTAGGTTGCTGAGGGAGTTCAACACGGTACTGTGCCGGGACAGGACTTTTTTACATGTTTACCAATATATCCTGAAGTAAACACTACATGCATTTAACCATAGCATGTACAGGTGTATCTTGGAGAGATTTATTTTTCTTCTTCTATGGTGGGACTCGACTGAGATGGAAGCACGGTGACTCACTTGCGGTTCTCAGTTTTCCTCAAGTACAATGGGAGGCAGAGCCTGTATATGGAACCAGCTCCCATTTGGATTCAGGAGACACGCTCCCTCTCTCTGCTTTTAAGATTGGGCTTCAAACTTTCCTTTTTCATAAAACTTTCAGTTAAGGATGTTTCATTTGACCCTGAACCATTGCATCCATAGTTAAGCTGCTATAGGTTCAGGCTGCTGGGGGATTTCTCACGATGCACTCAGTGTTTCTCCTTCACCCGCCTCTCTTCACTCCCTCTGCGTTTACATGACACTACTTTGTCTTCCTTCTCCAGTGCTTGTTGTGCTCGTCTCTCTGTGCTGTGTGGTTCTCTCCTCTCCTCTCCAATCTCCCTTAAACTGGTTTCTCCAGCTTTTTCACCCTACCATCATCAGGTTTTGGCTCATGGGGAACTTGTTAGGCTTCTCACTCTTTAACATTGCAGGGTTTTTACCTTGAAACACAAAGTGTTTTGAGGCGACCGTTGTGATTGTCACTATGAATAAAACTGAGTGACAGTTGCAGCAGGCTCTTTAGTGAATCAGTGCTTAGATGAAGTCTGTTGCTGCAAACTCTAAAAGATCAGTGTGGCTATTTTGTAATTATATTTATTTTTGTTGAAGTAGAAATGCAGCCAGCTGGAGACGGTGAATTCCTGGCTCTCCAGCTGGCAGAAGATGCATGTCAAAGAGCATGCTTAAGGAAGGTAAATTATAGGTAACTGTGTGCATTTGCATAAACAGCCCTGCCTTAAGCAAATTAAAGCTCTGAAAAGGGCATTAATCCCCACTGTTGAGCTCTAGTTTCTATCAATGTACAAGTTAAATTTAATATAGAAGCTGCACTTTTGATTTGAAAATAAGCTTTTAAAGTAGTGCTTTTTTACCCCTTTAAGGGAGCTTGAATTGGTGCTTAATAAAATACCCTTAATGTTATTCAGAACCTCGGTTGTTTCTCAGGAATGATTCTCGTTTTCAGCTCTGCATAAAACCGTATCCCCTCCAGACTCTGTTGCTTTTGTCTCTCCCTTGGCCCTTTGGCAATGGATTTAAGCCAGCCTACATCTGTGCGCTGCTGCTACATCAGATGTTGAGTAATCACCAGAGAGAGATGCATGCTTCCTCTTTGCTTTAAATGTTCACGCTTTGGCTGCTGCTGCAGAAAGCAGCTTAGTCTGTGTCATTTTCCTCCCACTATGGATAGCAGTAGGTCTGTACTGGAAGCTGGGTGCAGCTCTCTGAAAGTGCTTCTCAGCATGTCTCTGCTGCTCCTTTAATGACAGCTGAAAGCCAACAAGTTGTTTGTTAAAGGGCCTCTTGTCTTTACAGTGGATGCGATGGATGTTAGACACTCCATACGAAGGTGTCACAAAAGCTTTGCATGCTCGTATAGAGCGTCTGTAGGGGAACATTGTACAGCAAGCATTTTGCCCTCAGGGCTCAAGTAGATGTTTCATTTCACCAGCTCATTTCAAAGACTTGGCATATTTCTCCTGGCGATAATGTTCCCTGACCTGGAGGTGAAATTAAGTTTATGAACTTGGTGAGTCACTGCTTGTTCTGCTGTGATCAAGCAGTGAGATGGATTAAAAGCGGTATGGGAGTATATAGGGAGTTCAGCTGCGTAGAAAAGCAGTCTCGAGATATTTCATAGTTGGATGTTTAATTATTGTAAACAAAATTTAGTGTGCTCTGAGTTACAGTTCAGCCTGTTTAGGTGCAACACAGAAACCCAAAGATCAGGGACATTTATCAGTTGAAAATGCATTTATTATTAAATCGTTATGCTTGATTATATGACTAAATATCTTAATATCATAACAGTAATAATCCTATAACTAACCAGCAGTGGGATTTCAGTCTTTGAACCGTGCAGAGTAGTAAGGAATGGGTTCATATGAATGGCCTTTTCTCAGCTATTCACTGTAGCGATGCATCGACAAGGACAACTTACTGGTGCAAGAAAGCATCACCAGATAAATGCTGAGATAAATGTGTCCATTCTCATTACAAAATACTTGCATGAATGGGGACAGTCATTTAATATCTAAAATTTAAATTGACAGATTACTTTAAATTCAGCGTATCACCTGTGCAGTGGTGCACAGATGTGACGGTGTCTGTTACAGTATTGTGTAGTAGACATGAATGTCTCAATGAGAGCTTTTTTGGGCGGTAGGAAAAAATGTATATATTTTTGTCAGTTTGAAGCATGGAGTGAGTTAATATATCACTGAAAGAATAGAAAGTCTAGTTTTACGTGCATTTAATTAGGGGCACCCGAGAGATGGAGAAAAGTCTATATTGAAGAGAAAAAATCTGCTACTGCAGGAAGAACTTCTGCCGCAATCATTGCTTTAGTATAACTAATCAAAGTGCAGGTTAATGGTGTCATGAGCCTCACTGTCAGAGATTTAAATTATTTTTAATTTCCCAAAACTTTCCGATGCCATTCAGCTTGTTTATATATGTGCTGCATTAATATGGTGAAACTGCTCGAGATGGTGAACTTGACCGGCAGTGAAATTGCAGAGAAACCCAGGATGTGGGTGGAGGAAATTGAATTGCCTCTGTGCACATAGTGAGTGGGTGTCAATCTATTGTACATTTTAGAGATAAACTGCAGCGGGAGGGGAAGACATTGAGCCTCGGCTACTTCGCTCTGTCGTAGATGAGTTGGTGTGAAAGCAGAGCAATTGCTTGTCATTTTTAATTTAAAACCTGTTTGTCAAAGAGCGTGTTTAGTTTGTTTACAACCTGTGGTAAATTTCCTGAGATTTGTAGGAAATGGTTTGACCTCTGTGCTGTGTCAGATATGAGATTGTTTGGGGAGGGGGTAAAACCACATTTATGCTAATTCTGCTGATTCTAAAAAGACCTGTTTTTGCACACATTTGTCTTAAATTTCATGTCACATTAATTTTATTTATATTGTGATTGCAGGGCAGAGCCTAGGCTATGGATTTGTGAATTATGTGGACCCAAAGGATGCAGAAAAGGCCATCAATACCTTAAATGGCTTGAGACTTCAGACCAAAACCATCAAGGTAAGACATCATATGTTATCCTTTTTGACAGGTTTGAAAAAATAAATAAAAATGTCTTACCGGTTATGTCTGGCTCTGTAGGTTGGAGTCGAGACATAATGAGGCTGGAGCAGTGTGGGGTGTAAAGGGAGCCTATTGTTAATCTGGGCACAGGCGGCTTTGCTTGGGCCTCTAGTAGAGCAGAACTGTTTCTATGGTTGCATGTGCTGTAGCACTGCTGTATGCCTTTACAGGGAGGTGGCTGCCATTAGCATTCATCAGGCAATGTAGCACTCAATGTGCTGGTGGAGAAACTCATTTGCTTCATATAGTGCTGCAGGATTTGTGGATGGTGGAGTCAGATTATTAGATGTGATACTTTTTTTTTCTTTTTTTTGTGCTGGCCTTACAAGGAGCTAGCCTTCTCATATCAGGCAGAAAGCTATTAGAGAATTTCTGTGGGCAAAAACATATTTTGTAATAGAAAATTGATGTTTGAATAGCACCAAATTTGTAAGCTGTACGCTTGATTATTTCTGTTTTTAACACTTCAATATTGTGCAGATGTGGCATGTCATGACAGCGGAAGATGTAGTGTTGTGGGCCATACCGCTTCAATTCCACAAATCGGAGCCCATCTTTCTCATGTCGCTGCCTGTCTCAGTTCATACCCCTGAAAGTAGAACATGGTAACATTGCCTTATGCATCACACATCCGAAACTCTCTAGCTGCCCTGTCAGAAGTGCAAATAAACCCAGTGAAGTGGGGGAATATACTTTGCAAATATTAGCATTAAATAAAGTGTGAAGGTTAGACTATGGAGGAGGCTGGGCAGGGGGCTTTAGCTTTTACTGTTATCACTCTACTCTTCACCGGTGGTACACGGCAGATTTTGAGGTGTGGTCACTTGACCTTTATTTATTCCCATAAAATGATGACAGAGGAATAAAGATGAGTGTGACGCTAGGGGGAACACACTCACACACTCTGTTCTTTCTTTGTCTGATTCTCTCAATTCTCTTCCACAAAACCATCCTCCAACACTTCTTATCACATCAGCTCTGAAAATTTCGGCTGCTTTGGTTCCTGCAGATTATCAGACAAATCTCGACATAACCGAAAATGAGATGGTGCATGGAGAAAAATGAATTTGACTGCTGAGGGGTGTAATGATGTATTGATCCACATGACCTGGTAGAGGATTGAGTCTACCTCTCTTTGCTATTACTTGTCTGGGTTTCTGGATGGATGTTTGTTTGCGCCCCATATTTATTCTAGCCTGTTGCTGGAGATTTTTCTGATGTAATCTGAATTCAGAGGCAACAAAACCTCTAGAGTAGTTCAGATGAAGGTAAAGAGGCAGCCACGTTGCTGTGTAGAGCGATTTTTAACACTTTGGGGTTTTTTAAAATATTGTTTTATTTTGAAAGATGAGCTTTCTTGATGGGCCTGACGTTTAAATTGTCAGGATTTTGAGTTGAGGGACAAAATGTGACAGGTTAAACTCTTTGTGGACAGGCTGGTTTGTCAGTGTCCAATTAATAATAATAAAATGTTTTAGTGTTTAGGTTTGCACTGAGGAAGGCAGCAGCAGAAACCAGCAATGCACCACCCTAATGTTCCTAAAACCCAGCTGCTAACACTTACATCCTTTATATTAACTAATATGTTACAAACACATGAGTCACTGCAGTTTGTGGACAACACTTTTTTTTTTTTTTTTTTTGCAAAGCCCTGATTTCCTTGCACTGCATTAATGGGGTCCCTCGGGTTAAGGATGGGAAAAGTTGAGCTCATTTTGGGACATTTTCAAACGTAGCCGACGGTCTGTATTGAATGTCTGGTTTGTGGTCTCACTGTGTTATCACGTGATGGTTAAAGTTGGAATACAGATGGTTTTACAAACACTGGCGGGCTTGATGTCTGCTGGCTATGATGTTAGGAGATGCCCTACACAGTAATGTAGTCTACAGAAGACGGTGTATTTAGTTTATCATGTGATGCAGTTCTGTGTGTGGCCTGCAAGTTCACTCACACGTGAGTTAGTTTATATTCTCTCCGCTATGACTCGGTTACAGCCTCTGTTCGGAGATAGGAATCAAAGGTGATGGATGGTCTAACCTGCTTGTGCGTAAACTGGCTGTAATATACTGAGGTCGACAACTGTTTCCACTTGTAGGTTTCCTATGCGCGTCCAAGCTCCGCCTCCATCAGAGATGCAAATTTATACGTCAGTGGCCTGCCAAAAACTATGACTCAGAAGGAACTGGAGCAGCTCTTCTCTCAGTACGGACGCATTATTACCTCACGCATTCTGGTGGACCAGGTGACTGGTGAGTACAGCATGACAGCTTTCCCTCGTCTTTGTTCCATCTTCACTCTGTCACGCCCATCCTCCCATTTCCCTCCTGACTGCCAGCAAAATGACACAACCAGGACTGAGAAATGCATCAGAGGTGTTGCTACGAGGTTCCCAAAAATGCAATTTTCCACAAGACGTGCTCATAAATATGCATAGATGGAATATAAAATTGAGTATAAAGTAGCAGGACTCGATGCGTCATAATTTCTCCCTCCTGCCTGCACTTACTCCCTTTTCTCTTTCCATCCCCAAGGTGTACATGCGATACCTGTTTTATGGCAAGAAATGAAATGCATTTAGAGCAGTTATATTCTCCTTTCCTCAGCTGTCAAGCAGAAGCCTTATGAAACACTGATAAACAGAATCTTTCACTGGGACATTTCCCAGTGGTTCTGTCCCACTGCTGAAGCTTATTCCTTCTGGCGTGTGTTATGGGAATGGCTGTTTTCATAGTTTTCAAACATAAAACCACTTGTTCTTTGAGGATTCAATGGTCTTACCTTAGTATTAATAACCCAGCTCAGTCTTTCTGCAACCTGCAACTTTTTTATGTATAGAAATAACAGAAATGTGTTAATGAGCTAAAAATGTAAAAGTAGCAAAATGTGCAGCAAAAACTTCTTACACAAATGACATGGGAGGCTGGCCTGATTGACCAATACTGGCAAAGACTGCGCTCATTGGCAGGCAGCAGTCGCATATGTGACCGAGGGGAATGACATGCACTGGTGTCCCAACAGGGCATTAAGAGGGTAAATAAGTCGAAGCAGCAAGTCAAGAGTGATGCAGCCCACTTAAAAGCCATTAAATCACATGGAGCCCACCTCAACTTAAATCCTCTCAAATCAATGTACAGGAGAAAGTGTTATTAAACAAATTAAATGTGCTGTCGCCTATAAATTGCTAATGCTAATCAACCATATGTAAGATTAAGGCTGATGTGTGACTCACCTGCCACTGTGACACAAACTTCAGTATAAGTGCAGTAAGTTTAGGTCAGACTGTCACAAACTAACAGCTTATATTACCAGTTTTTATTCATTTTTATTTAAATTTATTTATGTAAGTACATAACTGTACATACTTGAGTGATTTCAAACTGCATTTTATTACTATGGCCCACCTGCAGCACATTTGTAACCCAACAGGGGGCCCCGACCCACACTTTGGGAATCACTGAGTTAAACGAATAACTAAATATGAATAATTAGCTTGTGTCTCTAGAGTGTGTCAAAGACAAAGTACCTGCGTCATCAGTTTTTCTACATCTGTGCTAACATAATGTCGCTTTTTCCTAATGTTCAGCTGCTAATAACAGACAGTAAAATGTCACTTTACAGAGAAATTACAGCTGTTAAACTCCTACCAGCCTAGTTGTATATAAAGTTTACTTCATAGATGTCCATAAATACATGTCACTGCTGATGTATGTCCTCCTCCTGTGTGTGTATGTTGTGTTATTTAATGAATTTCCAGACATGGAACGCACTTCACTGTTAATACATACAAATATAAAAAAGCAAATGTTTGTGGTCACGCATGCTGTAAGGTCATGCTTTTAAAACTGGAGTAAGAAATTACTTTACAGTGTAGTGATAGACCTTGAAAGCAGTTCACTGTACTACTGGGTAAAATGGTAAAGTCATATTGGAGGGGAATAAAAATAAATAAACGAGTCTACTTAAAAGGCTGATCATTAGGTCATGTTTTGACAGTCGGGTGAAGCTCAGTATGACTAATCTGGAGTTACTGGGCTCTCTCAGGTGTTTCCAGAGGAGTTGGCTTCATTCGTTTTGACCGGCGAGTTGAGGCTGAGGAGGCCATCAAGGGTCTGAACTGTCAGAAGCCGCCTGGTGCCACCGAACCCATTACAGTCAAGTTTGCAAACAACCCGAGCCAAAAGACCAGCCAGGCGCTGCTGTCCCAGCTCTATCAGTCACCCAATCGAAGGTACCCAGGACCCCTCGCACAGCAGGCACAACGCTTCAGGTAAAAGGGGCACACCAAAAAAGTATAATGCTGCTAGTGAAGCTGATTTTGTTGACCCTCTGAGGTTTTTGGATATTAGCATTTAAATTGTCTCACTGGCAGCATCGTGAAAATATTCTGTGTCGGAGCCCGTCGGTACTCTGGGCAGAATATATCATCCCCATTATTACATTCTTGACTTTGCGGCATGTTGCAGACGTAGGCCTACCACACAATCTGGTTTAAACAGATGTTTGGCAAATGTGGAAATGAGATGAGCAATGAATGAACAAATTGTGCGAGTTAGTCCAAAAAATGTGTTAATTTTCAGTGTGCTGATTGATGTCAGTGGTTGTTAAAGCTGCCACCCTGTCAGCCTAATTGACCCTTTTTCTGTATGAACTGCAAGTCTCCTGTTGGCTGTGTTGTGAAGGATGACTGGGAAAATTTAAGTGGAACAGCAGACTTTAATCGTGGTATCAGACCCATTACTCATCTTTGTCATCCTGTCAAAACTCATCAGCTTCCTGAAAAGTTTCTTTCTTATAAAATTAATTTGTCTGTTGGTGTTTTGCTTTTTTTAAGGTTGGACAATCTGCTGAACATGGCCTACGGAGTCAAAAGGTAAATTGACTTTCTGTTTTAGATTCTGTAGTCTGCCTTAATTGATCCTTGAGGGAAATTCCGAGCTAACGTGAGGGAGCTGATGGGATACATTTTGTTGTTTATTTCCTATGAGCTCTATGGCAGCATTGTGTAGGTAGTTAACACTGCATAAAGTGGCACTGATTCAATATGGGACTGCTGCTCAAAGCAAATGCTTTTCTGTGCATCCACAACAAATATACACACAATTCAGTTGGTGTGGGTGAATCAGGCTGTTTGTCTTCACAGTAAGTCATGATGTAAATATTGAACAGCTGCTGCAGATGCCTAAAGGCAGACCTGTGTATGCTGAGAGCATAGGCTGGAGGGGCAGGGTCTCTCCATTGTGTTAGACCAGCGCAGGATGTCAAAAACTACCTGCTAAATTTATCTGATTTAAGTCGCTCTTACTGCCTGATGTGGCATCGTTTCTGGTTTGGTTTACAATTTCTAAAGCATAAATAACATGACTGCATTGTCTGTAGGTTGCTAACCGGGTCGATATCCTTTAATCTAATTGAGTATTTAGTGCGTTAATATACTAAAGAGCAGCATGTGGTCTGCTCAGCTGCCATGTTGGAGAATCTGAAGTGCAGTTTGTGGCAAAATGTGGTGACTCTTTATGGTTTGAACAAAGCAGAGTCTCTGTATCTTTGGGGACACGGAGGTGACTGCTTTAGTGGCCATGCTCAGTGTTTAACATAAACGGGTTTAGGTATTTGTCCTTTAAACGTGTTCTCTGAAATAAGGAAACTGTATAAAATCAGCTGCTGGTGATGCAGTGGAGCGCTTTAATCTAGAGCTAATGTCACAACATGTGATAGATTAAAGCACTGTCTACGCCGCTTGTCTACATAACAAAGGGCAGACTCTTACAATCTTACTCGCTATTGCACAAAATTGCACGTTTGTATTGAGCTTTGCACTCTTACCTTGATCTATTATGGACAGCCCTGTCCTGTTTTAAACTTTGTTGCGTCAGACGTCTTTCAGGATTCGCCGGGATACCAGTTTGTCTCAGTTCAGTTTTATAAGAATGTCTTCCTCGTGTGTGATTGAAGTCCAGTTCCCTGAAAGCTCAAAGAGCCGTCACCAGCAGCAATAGACGTGCGATTTCTCCTCTGCCGTGCTCGTTGGCTGACGTCTTGGTTGCCAAATTTCTCCGTGGGTCCTTGATGCTGGGAGCACACCTGTCATAGTGGATGTTCCCTGAGAGGCCAAGTGGAGCAGCTAATCTTGTGTGACACCTGCTGCAATAATTCATAGGCTTTTCATGCACTTTGAATTTTGTTTCTTAAATCTGCAAAAGCACACTTACCGAAGGCCAGAGCCTTTCTGTGCCTCGTTATTATGCTCTTGGCAACTGCCGCGTTTATATAGAATTTATTTCCCTTTATGATTTGCCAGTTTTTGATTTGGAGGAAATAATTTCCTTTGCAGTTGTGAAGCTACAAACTAAATGTGTGGGGAGTAGCTCGAGGACTGAATCTGTGCATTTATTCTGAGGGTTGCTGCTCAGGTGACTTGCTGCAGAAGATGAAGGAAGTGTGTTTTGTGAAAAATCTGATTATGTAATTCCTGAAATGAAAGAATGGCACTAGCACCATATGGCCATAGAAGCATCCATGGCTCACGATGTGTGGGTAGAGCTGATCCCTGCAGAGACTTGTCACACTCTGTTAGGCTTGTTGGTACGATCTCCTGTCTTATAAAATGGCCCGTTTTGTGCTCATTTTGGCTCTTGCCTTGAACCATGTTACTTTTTGTGTTTTAACAGCAGGTTCTCCCCGATGGCCATTGACGGGGTGACCAGCTTGGCTGGCATCAACATCCCGGGGCACGCGGGCACTGGCTGGTGCATCTTCGTCTACAACCTGGCTCCGGACGCAGATGAAAGCATCCTTTGGCAGATGTTCGGGCCGTTTGGTGCTGTCACAAACGTCAAGGTTATCCGCGACTTTAACACAAACAAGTGCAAAGGATTTGGTTTTGTCACCATGACTAATTACGACGAGGCAGCTGTGGCCATCGCCAGCTTGAATGGATACCGCCTTGGGGACAGAGTTCTGCAAGTGTCATTCAAAACCAACAAAACACACAAAGCCTGAAACTGAGATTGTTTCTAGAAAACTCACCAGAAAATGGAAACAGAAAATGGAAGCGTATTGACCGTAACTTTCTACATTAGTAACAAGAGCTTTGTAAATCAGTGTTGCGAAGAAAAACGATATTTAGCGTCCAACAATGTGATCTCTTTTTTTTTTCCTTCTCTTTTTTCCCATTGCTACACTTTGAATCTTCTCTATACTTTCAAACAGAAAAATACCTGCAGGTCTTGATGCCTGTCATGTTGACTTCTCTTGCTGTCTTTACAGATGGACCATCTAAAATGTTACTCTAGGTTTTGTCATTTTGTTGCACATCTGCTTTGAAACAGTAAGTCTTGTAAGGTTATGTGTAGTGATTTTTCTTTGTACTTCTGTGTCCTGATTTGCCACACGTGCGTTTATGCCTTCGGTGGTTAGCAAGTACTTGCGTTGAACTATTTGCGGTTCTGTTAATTTTGTAAGTATTCTGTTTCCTGTAATATCAGTTGGTTATTGGTTGGCTGCATAATGTTGCTTATTGTACAATTAACAGATAAAAAGACAAAAAAAAGATTCTTAAAGCAGTACCTTGCCAAAGAGCTAAGAACCTCTTTGATGTGGGTTTAAAAGCATCTATTTTTATAAAAAGAAAAATTTGGAGAAACTTTTTACTGGACCTGGAACAAAATATTTTGACTTGGATACTTTGAGAAATATCTTCATATGACACCTTGTGAGCTTTTGAACTTTACAAGAAAGTTTGCAGTGGTTGAAATTTCTGGAGAGATTTATGATGTAAAAGATACCTTTTGAGATCTTTGTATTACCTTTAGATTATAGAATCAGTGGCAGTGCTGGTTTCATTTGTAAAATCATCTGTGGGTCCCCCCCCCCTCCCCTCGGTCGTCTGGTCGTTACGGCTAGCGACTCGCTTTCCGGTCTGATTTGGAAACGGACAAAACTTCAAAGGTTGATCTGCAAAAAGTGCATGAAAAATTAAAAACATGGAGATATCATAAAGGTAAATGGGGGATTTAAAAAAAGGGAAAAAAGAAAAATCAGTTCTTCCTCTAAGATTCCCTTCAGATGGAGCTCATGGTGTTTTGTGGTGTATCTACAATATCATTAGACTAATTTTTGTCTTAATATCAACCAATGAGGGTTTTTACATACTTTGTATGAAAGATTGAAGACAAGCCAGTGAAGGCAGCAGCATCAAAAAACAACTAGCGTGACAAATAGAAGGGTTCCTCCTGAGCTTTGAGCTGTGTAAATAAGTCCTTTTTTATGTTGAGTACTTGGCAGACTTTGGTTTTTGTTTGGACTTCATTGAAAAGTGTGATTATTATATACAACTTTCTTTTCAGGACTGTGTAAGGTCTTTTTTTTGTTTTTGGATCTTTATTTTCAGTTTCTCTTCAGTTGAAATACTTGAGTTGTCGTCCTATGGACTAGCATTAGTGCATCAGATTTGTTGGTTGTTAGGTCTGTAGATAGTCTTGCTTCGTTAAAAAAAAAAGGTATTAAGAAACTATAGACATTTGTTTTGGTTTTTTTTATATATAAACATTATAGATATATATTTATGTGGTAAAGAATGGATATAAACCACAGTTTTGAACTATTTGATTACTTTTTTCATACTCATATCTCTATATATAAATATATACGTAATGCATATAACCTGTCTTTAAAATCGTAAAAAGGTGTATATTGCTTTATTCACTTTGGGGAAGGGCGGTGAAGCAGTTCCATTAACAATAGCAAAGTTGGTTGCAGAAGTTTGTCAACATCTAGCTCATCTCAAACACATGAATGGAGGCTGGTTGAGCCTTAGATGCACTGAATACTGCACCTGCATCCTGCTTGGTATTTCAACCGATTATTAGTCATGCTTCCCCTTAAACGAGCAGTGTGCTATGCATTATATAATTATCTTTGCAACTGCTTTTTCTTGTTTATCTATTCCTTCTTTGTGTTACTTGTACAAGTTAAACTTTAAGTCTAGATGAGTTGTGATACTTGCTGCTGTAGGGAAGAGACAACATTTGTCATGCCTGACCTGCCACTGCTGAGAATAAGTTTTGTTTTTCCTTTATGTAACCGCTTGATGTTGGGGTTTTTTTTTTTTTTTTTTTTTCCCCCCCTCTATTTATTTTATTTTTTTTCCTTTTATTTTTTATTTATTTATTTTTTGGTCTTGGGAAATTGTGCTGCAGGTCTGGCATGAGGAAATGTTTCCTCCCATCCCTCTTTTCTCAATTCTTAATATGAGAGTGATTATTTATTTGAAGTTGTATAGTCTGACTTGGTTCACAGCATTTTTGGAATAGAATCTTTTTGTTAAGTATTTAAAAGGATGTACATGTTCTTTACTTTGTGTTTGGATACTTTTGGATTTATTTTTTTTTCCATGTTCAGTACATCAATAAATAAGTTGAAGGGCAATGAAGCTTTGTGATTGGATCATTCCTGTTTCCTGTCTGACAGGAAACTGAGTTTTATTAACTACATGCCGAAATGTTTAGTTTTAAACTGTTGTGCTTTAAGCTGGAAACGACCCCCCATTAACTAGCCAGTCTAATTGCTTTGCTTTTCACTTGACAGTTGCTCAAATGTTTCAGTACTTAGGCTTCCTTAAAAAAAGCAATATGCAGTTTTTAACTTTGTTTAAATGATATGATGCACTTCCCTGCTGATGGGCAGATTTCCGGGCTTTTAAAGCTCTCTGCTTCTGTAGTAATTCTCTCCACGTACACGAGAAAGCCAAATAGATTTGCAGAATGTTTAAATGCCCAGTGACTCAAACTTTACTGGCAGTAAAATGGTAGGGTTCATCTTTTCTAAATTAAATTGGACAGGATTTATTTTGGAATGAAGTAGCCTTAAAGTGGACCTGTTATTAACGGCTCAGTCTTCCCTATTTAGTACTCGTCCTTGGTGCAGCGCCTCAGTTCATCCACCGTCTCAAACAAGCTCGATTGGTACAAAAGGCTGTGCCACGAAAATGTCCAGCAGCAGCAGCAGCAGCCTGAACTGCTCATACAAGCCCGGATGGATCCATGCTTTCATGTTCAAGTCTGACCCTGACTCACGCATTTACAATCTTCTATCATCCAACTGTATAAGCCTGTGTGAGTTGTAGCCCCAGTTTCCTGTTCTGGGATGACAGTGTCCTGCTACTTTAGTAATCTGCTCCAAGATTCAACATGTTCATTCACAGATGCTCTTCTGCAGAACTTGGTTGTAACGAGCGGTTGTTCGATGTAGTTGCCCTCCTATTAGTGCAAAGCAGTCTTGCTGTTTTCTTCTGGTCTCCACTACAATATTTTCCTTTTTGGACATTTCTCTAAAACTTAGATGGCGGTGTTGGGAAACCAGTAGAGCAGTTTCTGAAATATTCAGACCAACCTGTCTGGCATCAAACTTTAGCAGGCTGTGTTGACGTGTGACCAAACTTGCATTTTAAAGCAATTGAAAGTGAACCTAATAAAGCGGCCACCTTTTACTGAAACCTTACGATCATGAGACGACACTTTTAACCCACCCAACTGCTTCACTTTGCAAATTTTGGGGTGTGAGGAGGGGTTGCCACTGTAGCTGTACCTTCTTAGCGTTTCACTGCACTGTAGTACTGAGGTTGGAATAGTTTAGATACAATATTTGAAAGTGCTGAACTTCAAATGTTTTAAAAAAAAAAATGCTAATCTATTTTCAGGTTTCTTCTGCAGGAGGTTGAGGTATAATTGGGGCACAGTTCAGGTGCTGACTTGAATGTTCCAACACAAAGAGCAGCGCAAGGCTTGAAGGAAGAAGCCTGGTCTAGAGTATTGATTTCTTTTTCTTTCTCCCCTTCCTTTTTATTTTTTATCTCATGCTCCACTTGAGGCTGACGGTCGCTGATGAAATGGCCTGCTTTGAAGTGCGCTTCCCTACAGAGCAGCCACCTCACACTCCCCGACTGTCATTTTAGGGGCACTGCAAGGACGTAGATGGGAGCTGCTTTATAAGCCAGTTGCTTTTTTCTTCTCTCTTCCCCCTTTTTGTAAAGAAAGCATTTCTGAAGTATCCACTGTTTTTTGGGGGGAGTGGGGTTTCAGCACACTGCTCAGTTTAATGAAAACAATATTTATGGCATGCTCAATCATGTAGTCATTCTAGCTCTGTTTGGCTCCAGCAGATAAGAAGGCTGCTCTTTGAGCTCCTTATAAAGCTTCCCCTCCGATATTTACGGTTCCATTAGCCTGCGTGCGCGAGCAGAAATGTCTTTCCCTGAAAGGAGTCGTTTTTTGTTTTTTTTGTTTAAAACCAGTGTCAATATTAAGATTTCATGACACTTCTCTGGTTTGTGGATCTTTGCTGGAAACGGATGATGTGTGAGGGAGCTTTGGCTGAGCGACGGCGTGCTTGGTTTTTATCTGACATGTTAGCGGCTCTTCTCGCAGCTGAAACTGGTCTTATCGTGGCACTACAAATGATTTTGAACTGTGTGCAGTGATTACATGCTGCTAGTGAAAACAGGATTAGGCTTCAGCAGTTAACGGGCGTCACAGACGAGTTGGTGTGAGTTTATAGCACGTTGTGCTTTTAGTTGTTTGACATAAAGAAATGCATTTTCAGTGGGTTTCCTCCAGCTGTGCACTGAATCAGCAGTGTTTTGGCAGGTGCAGAAAATTGCATCTACTTCTCTTTGAATGCTCGTTCAAAGATTTCATTCAGATCGCAAGATGAAGCACAAAGGATTAAAAATTAGCTTTTTGACTTTGACGGGGATACCGTGTTATCCTCTGACACATTAGTCTGATTTTTCTTTTTTTTTGTCCTTGCAATCTTCTAATCATGCTGTGTATAAAACGTGAACATGATCAATGTGTTTTTGACTCCTCCTCCTGAAGCCTTCAGGTTAGCAGTTAGCACCTTTAGCTTACACAACTAGATTGCTTGACTGATGCACTGAAGCTTGTGAGTTTCATGGTTTTAATGGACGGTTCACTGCAAAATTAAAAACTACTCAAGACCATAAAGAGATAAACGAACTTGAGCTGCTGATGTTTCCTCTGCTGTTAAACTGTTTCTGGGATAATTTGAGTTTTCCCGAGTTGGAAAGATGATTTTTCACTTTGCGTTCGTGTGTGCAAAAATCAGCTGCTTGTAGCCATGTTTTGTGTACGACATCAACATCGCTGCATCTCTTACCAAAAGTAGTTTAGTCTACTTGAGAAAATTCATGGGAATATTCCAGCGCCACATGAATGCACAATGAAGCTATTATTCATGGACTTTCATTAGATGTACTTCCATAGGCCAGCCTGAATAAAGTGCAGTGAAAGAATTTCTACTACTTTATTACAGAAAAACAAAATGTACAAACTGGACCAGTGTGCAGGGTTTTGTTTACCGAAGCATTTCAAAGAACAAAAGCTGTAGTTTGTTGGAGCACGGCGATGTCTCAGTTGTTTTTATAGATCTGTAGTATTTGAACGCAATTTGGACCTCACGGATATTTTTATGAACCTTGTGATGCGTTCTTCCAACCAGCTTTGGAAGAACATTGCAAATGAAGGTAATGCATTTGATCACAACTGCAAGAATGATTTGATATTTTTAATATCATTTATTAAAAATAATAGTATTGGGTTAAATATTCCATGTAGGAGCCACATTTGAGCTGAAATAACCTTTTGTAGCCGTTTTGTCTCAAAATTCTTCAATTCTCCATGTAAATTAAATTCAAACAGATTCCAGAGTAGTGATTTTAAAGTTTTCTGCATCCATATGTAATCAAATCAAATCTGGGCTTTGATTGGCCCACTCCATATAACCATTTCCTCTTTCTGAGCCATTCTTTGGTGCTTGGCATCATTATCCCACTAAAAGCTTCCACTTCAGGTTCAATTGAACTTTGCGGCAGGTGGCTTGATCATCAAGCGTCTGATGACATGCAGATGTTAGTCAGTGGATACTAGTCTCTGTGGCTGTCACACACACTCTTTGTACAGCTTTATCTTTGATTTGTCTGTTCAGGGACAAATATTCCAAAATCCCCGGTCTTTGTACGTTCATAATTTTTGGAATGCAAAGTTGTTCCACTGGTATGAATCCCATTCCAGTTAAATTTCTCTGATTGTAGATGCATGCATCGAGATTACCTGCAGATGCTGTAAGGCTATTTTGTTATTATTTTATTTATTGGAGACAATTTTTATCTTTAAAGTCATTAGCAGTGATTTTCCTTACATTGGAAACATTTATTTCAAATAATTTCAGGTTTTCTCTAAATCGTGGCTCTTTTAGCTCCTGGCAAACTGATACCACACAGTTGAGCTGCAAAGAGAACAGCACAGCCTCCAAGGTTTAAATAACACAATACTCATTTTATAGATTTAAAGGTGTGATAAATGTAGGAGTGTATTTAATTCTCTTATCAGCTTTTCAAAATTTAGGGCTCTGAATATTGCTGCATGATGTCAGTTCTGTCTTCTTCAAGAATATTGTAATAGTATTTCATTAAGGTTCAAATATTTGACACTTGATCAGACAGCTGAGTCTGTAATTATTGGATACAGTTTCTATTTTTCCAAATGAATTAAGCCTTTCCCTCACAAAAAACCCAAACTGCAGCAGTGCCCTGTGGGATGCCCAGGGTTAGCCCATCATCAGGGGTAATTAGCCTAAGGAGAAATGTGCTTGATGTTGTGTGTGCCTGGTCTTTGCTTTCTAGGGTATAAAAAAAAAAAACCCTTTATCCTCTTTACCCTTGATGTCCAGCTCTAATGTGGTGCAGCTTTGACCTGCAGTCCCACAAGTCTAGTGCATAAAGAGTAGAGCTCCAGCGATGTGTCCCCTATACTTCAGCCTACATTTCAGACGGTGTTGATGAAGAAAATAGTCACACACATGCTCTCTCTCAGCGTCTCGACACCTGGTTACTGCTCGTACCCTTGCAACTGCTCACCTTGGACTTGTGAAGCCTAGCCTGGTATGTAATGAAACGAGAGAAGTAAAACTCTGGTTTTGGGTTTTGGCCAGAGCTGCTGCTGATGTCAGCAAGCTGCACATAAACACATTTGCATGTGGTCTGTCTGCCCGTCTGATTTATGGCTCACCAGGTTTTTAGTTGTGAGTTGCTTTTTCACACATGCTTTTCTCCCTTGGTTTTATGGTGGGAGTTACTTTTTCATACAGATAAATTTGGAAAATTGGAAGTTAAAAGCAGCGTTGGTCAAGTTACTTGAAAAAGTAATCAGTAACTAATTACTGATTACTTCCCCCAAAAGGTAATCCTGTTACTTTACTGATTACTTATTTTCAAAAGTAATTAATTAATTAGTTACTTTTTAAAAACACGATTTACAACCTGAAGAGGTGATAAAGCGATAGATCTTTCAGCCCAATTCTACTTTTTCTGCATAATCCATCATACAAAATGTAATCAAATGGAAAAGTCTCTTT